TGAGAGAGAGAGAGAGAATATGGGTGACATTCTTGTAAATAAGTGGTAGTCAAATATGAGAGAGAGAGAGAGAATATGGGTGACATTCTTGTAAATAAGTGGTAGTCAAATAGGAGCGGCATTCTTGTAAATAATTATACACTAGTACAACACTCGTGTGTTACACGAGTGCTTGTTAAAAAAAATTATCATTAATGTTTAAAATTAATGAAAAAATTGTTTTTAGTTTTAATTACTTTTTTACAAAAATATTTATTATTATATATATTTAGTGACACTTGTTACTTGTGTGATTTATGTGTTATATTATAGTAATTTTTCTAACTTATATCATAGAACTACTTGAAACATAAAAATACTAATGGATAAATAATTTTATCTTTCAATTAGTATTAAAAAAAATATTATTGTTATAAAGAAACATAATTATTTTTTTATACATACAATATGAATGTTGAATCGAAACTTATCAAGGGATGATTAATTTGATATATTATATATGTAAAACTGATAAAAAAATATAAAGTTATTAACATTTAAAATACATTTACAATTCAATGGTTATTGTAAGAAATGATATTAAAGTTCAATTAATACTTGTAACATGACCATAAATAATCAACATATTTATGGATAGTCCGAACCTATATTATTTTTGGTTGGGAGTAAATTAAAATCTATCCAAGCCAAATAGTGAAGCATGTAATTTCGCCACATAGGATCCTGAAGCATGCGAGCCAGCCATTTAGGCTCAGCACGTTTTGAATTAATATATAGGGGGATATCATGGTCAAATATCAAAATATGACCACTAACTAGGGGCAAATCAAACATTACATACTACCAGTGGACCCCACCACTAATCTACCCCCTCTCTCACACACACAACACACACTGACACACACACACACACACACACACACGTAAACTCAGCATCATCGCCGAACGTCACAAGCATCGCCGGTCATGTCATCGTCGAGACCATCCCTGCTACCCGCCAAGGTTTGCGTGCAGGCCTCAACTGCCTGCCAAGATTTGCCTTAGCCCGCCAAGGTTGGTCAAGATTTGTTGCGCCTCCCGCCACTAATTGATCCCCATCGAGATCACCCCCGACACCGCCGCCCACACATCATCATTCGTTGGCGGCGTCGGCGAAGAGGCCTCTGAGGCGGAGACCGAGGTGGCCTCGCGGCTCCTGCTCGAGCCGAACATGAACGACAAGGTCGCCCGATCACAAGTCGACGCCGCCCATGGTTGGAAAAAGATGTGTGTGTGGTGGTCAAAGGAGGATAAATAAGGGGGGCTACTTTTTATAAATTTGACAAGTCACAAGAACTCAGTTGCAATTTTTAAATTTCAATATATTGCATTTAACACAAGGGTCAACTTTTATAATTATATAAAATATAATTAATGTTTTATTATATTATTTATTATTTAATATATTTTTATGTTTTCATATTTTTTTGTCTAAAAGTAAGATAAAATTTTACATAAAAATATAAAGAATAATAATTAAAATAATTTTTTTATATAGTTCGGCCTGTTTGGGTTTTTCAGTTATTTTAAAATATTAAAATCGATATTGAACTGAAACAACATATATTTTAAAAATCAGCCAAAATATAAGATTTAGAACGGAAAATTTTAGTCCAGTTGGTTTAGGTCGCTATTGTGCAACTTGATAATTATTAATGTGCAATTTGCTAACACTATTATGCACTCGAAGTACATAAAAATATAAAAGATCGAAAATTTTACTTCGGTCAGTTTCGATCCTTATTGTGTAATGTGATGGTTATTAATGTGCAATCCATTTACAATATTGTGCACAAACAATTGTAATGTCTTTTCACAATAAAAACTAAAATCGAATTGAAATAATCGATTTTCTTTTATTGGTTAACCGAATTATCATAAAATATTAAAATGGTTTATTGTTGATATTACAAAAATATATTTTAGTGTTTTAATATTTATATTAAATATTTTATATTCTTTTAGTTGAAAAGACAATATATAAAATAAAGAAATCTATAAGGTGCATTCCAACAGACAATAATGTGCGATTCATCTAACAATATGGTACATTGTAGGGCTAAGCATGAGACTCGGAGAATTCCGAACTGTTCAAAAAAACCGAACCGAAATCACTCAGAACCGAAAAATAACCATTAACCGTTTGACTTTCTCCGAACCGAATCGAACCGAACCAAAAAAAATAATTGGTACGGTTCTGGAGATTTCACAAATATCCGTACGGAGAATCGAACCGAACCGTCCCGTACCGTACCGAACTGAAGAACCGAAATTGGGAACCAAATTTTAAAAATAGATGTATGATATTAACATATTTTATGTCAATTTTGATGTTATATAACTTGAAAAATTTTAAAATGGAAATAAAATAAAGTTATAACAATTAAACTTCACTTCAATTTCATGCTTAGTACTACTTGAGATCTACAATTAAATTTTTCTGGTTTAAGAAAAATATTTTAAAATGATATGAAAATTTATAGAAATATTTTGTTTAAAAAAATATTTAAACATTACTTAAATTTGCCGATACTAGTCTTATTTTATCTTGTAACTAACAAGGTTAATTTTTTTTAATAAAAAATTATATTTTATTTTATTTGATTTTGAATTTTCAATGTAAGTTGCACAAATTTAGTCTTAACTAAAATTTAGAGTTATTTCCTCAGTTGATTTAAACATAAAATCTTTAGTATGATAAAATATTGATGAATGTTGGATTTAAAAATAATATATAAAAATTAAAATAAAACTAGGTGGATATTAAAAAAAAATAAAAAAAATAATTAGAAATCTCCGAATATCCGAACCGAACTGAACCAAACCGAATCGTTCCGAGAACCAAAACGAAATGAAAAATGAAAATACCCGAACCGAACCAAATCGATTTTTTTGTATGGTTCCGGAGATTGAATTTAGTAATCTCCGAACTTGTCAATCTCTGAACCGTACCAACCCATGCTCACCCCTAGTGCAGTGGATATTTTTTATGTGCACTTCATTTTTATAAACTTTTATGTGTATTTCAATTTACATTATTTTTTATTTATTAAATTTTTTATGTAGTTTTTTAGTATTCTGTAATCTACATAACATTAACTTACAATTTACTCACCAATAATGTGTATTTTAATTATCATTGATGTGTATGTATTAGTTTTTATAATAAAGATCCTTGTTGTAAAAGAATATATATTTATATTTTCCGCAGGCGGGTCGTCCCTTGCCGGTTCTTACTGCGGGCAGTCATCGCTTGTTGGTTCCTTCATCTGGCGCCGACCGACGGACGACTACTCAAACCGCAATAAAAAATAGTTTTAAATCACATCATCCGACACACAGTCACTCTCCGAATATTTTTCCGGCACCTCAGAACGTCTATTCTCTGCCGGCAGTTTCGAGCCATCGACGACAAAGCCACCGTTTCACAGTCAATCGTCGAGACCACGAAACCTAGCAGAGACGGCGGCGCGACGAGTCGCATAAAGGGGACCGGTGATACGGCGACATTGCCGAGATGAGGAGAAATATAGGGCAAAGGCGTCGACGCGTTCTCGTGTAGCGGTGACGCTACCGTTCTCGGGGCGGAAGCCATAGACGGCAGCGAACGGCTTAATGGATGCTTTCGGTGGCCTTGGACGCATAAGCGAGTGTGTGTTCCTTGTGTCTACGTGTGTTGTGTATGTGGGGGTGGTGATGTGGCGTGTTACCCACTGGTGAATGGGTTGATTGGATGAATAATGGTTATAATGTCCAAATTACGCTTAATGAGTGTAAGATTTAGAATTTTTTTATCCGTTGGATCATCCGATCTGATGACTAATATGCATTTTTAATTATTTCACCGAACACCTTTCTACCTGAATCCAACCTTATATATATACCCGTTTCATTAATATTTTTTTTTCAGAAAAAAAATATGAAAATTACATTAGTAATACATATTAACTATTAGACTACTACAAAACAAAAGAATAGAGAAAAAGTCGGATTTGGGATTTGACACGGTGATGGTGAATCCGGCCACCGGCCGGCCACCTGACGAACCTCCCGACACGCCTTTACTCTTCAAAGGTACGAAGCCCTCTTTCAGAGATATCACTCTTCTTTCGAAGCCGCTCCCCCCTCCGCCCCAAAAATGAGATATGTTCAAAGAACAAAAAACGAGGATTAAGCTGATCGACAATGATCGATTGAAGCCGGTCTTGGAGCTAGACCCGAAATATTATGCCTCAGTGTGCCATCCGTACGAAGATGGGGTGGTGGTTCGCCTATTAGGTAAAAAAAGTATCTTATTTCTACATGAAAGATGGGCTTAAGCATTTGTGGAAACCTCACGGACATCTTGAGCTGATTGATTTAGCAAATAGTTTTTTTATGGTGAAATTCACAAGAGAAGATGATCGGGACACAACCCTAAATGGAGGTCCGTGGATGTTTTCAGGCCACTATGTCACAGTTCAGAAATGGACGCCTCACTTTAATACTTTTAATGATGTGATCAGAGCCGGTCCTACATATTTTGGAGCCCTGGGCTAAACATAAAAATAATGCCCCAAATAACTTTGTTTTAATATATATATATAAATTTCAGAAAAAAAGTTTATGAAATCGAGAAGAACTAGAAAACCCAATCTAGTAACAATGAAAAACCATGTTTTAGTTTTATTTTTTTCTTATAAAAAACCATGTCTTAAACTCACAACTGTCTAAAAAATCTTTAATGCCTTTAGTGCTTTTTTTTTTTTTGCTTCATAATATAAAGTAATTAAACAACCATCATAATTATCACAAATTTTGTTCTACAAAATGAATTAAAAGTGGCATACCTTAAATTAAGAATGATATAACTAAGCGGTAAGTCAATTCAATATGTCAAAATACAATTGTATTTACATATTAATTACAGTTGTATTTTACATTACATTACATACAATTGTATTTTACATTTACATTACAATTGAAAGTAGATTAAATTAAAATTAAAATCCACCTATGCCTTCTTTTATTTCTTAATTTTTTTTGAAGGCGACCATATATGTTGGTAATTAAAATAAGAATATTATATAAAAACAAAGAATGAGCATAAGAAAAATAACAAATTAATTATCACTAGAATTATAATCAATTATTAATAAAGACGGTCACGGAACATTCAATAATTTTGGGCCAACTTTAGATATTCAAGGTGTATTTGTATGCATTAATGTCCTAAGGTGAAAAATACTTTTATTTATAATGTAGAGAAAAATAATCCATAATTTAAGATTTATATTTTCAAGATTAGTTTTTTGCCACAAAACATTAAAGGAGAGGTAATTAGAATGGAGAGGTAATTAGGAAGGAGAGGTAAATAGGAGAGGTAATTAGGAAGGATGAGATGTGATTGATTAGGAGAGAGATTTATGGGGTAATCGAGTGGTCTTAATTGGATAAAAAGTTTTTTCTTTTTTTTTTTTAACAAAAAAGGAAAAAAAAGGTCAATGTATAATTCTGTATCTATCAATGTGCATTTGAGTGCATTTGAGGCCCCATGTTGCAAACGGGCCCTGGGCCGTCGCCCAGTTTGCCCAGGGCCAGGGCCGGGCCTGGATGTGATCAAACACTTTGGTTTGGATTCGTCTTTCAGGGTTAAATCTCGCTATGTTCGATGAGAACATTATGTTTTTCCTGGCATCTATGGTGGGCACTCCAGTATGGATAGATCTTAACACTTCTAATGTTGAAAGGGGGAAGTATACTCGAGCTTGCGTTCAGATCGATTTGAACCAACCCGTGGTTGGCCATATGGGTTTTCAGGGAATTTGGTACAAGGTGGAGTATGAGGGCCTTTACCTACTATGCCCCTTATGTGGTCGATATGGCCACAACCGCAACACATGTTCTTTTGTTAAGCCAGTGGAGTCTGAGGGACCGTTGCCATCTCTTGATAAAGAAAAATCCTTTAAAACTGATTATGACATGAATCCCCCAACCGAATTACATGGTGATTGGCTTGTAGAACAAAGAAGGAGGAGGGGGAAACCGAACAAAAAGGTAGGTTAGAGCGAGACGTCTTCTCCGAGTAGGGTTGCCCACAAGATGCCTAGTAAGGAGAAGCCTAACTCTCAGAAACAGGTTAAAATTGCTACTCCCAGCCATTCTAAAAAAGAGGTGCCTGGAAGCTCTAGAAAGGCCACCCAAAATCAGCTGCAATTGGTTGAAGTCGAACCAACACACGTTTGTGCAAAAAAAA